TCCATTTTGACTGTTCTCGAATCCATCTGGGGCTCACCAGCGGCCGAGCGGTAAAGTCGCTGAACACTGGTAGTTCGGTCCGAGGTTCGAATTCCCCAAACGGCCTGGCTGCATGGGCCTTCGTAGTTTTTCCCATGTGGAATGTGTATACGAGCCAGTTTCCCTTAGAAAGACCTATACGAAGGCATCCCTTCCCTTATTAAGATAGCCCTCGAGACTTTGCTGTAATCACATAAACCAAACCATATCCATTTGTTTTTTTTTTTTGGGGGGGGGCCATGACATCTGTACTTGCAGACAGAATTTTTTTTTTTAATATTTTAAAATGGATTTAAAAGTGATTTTTTTTTCTGGACATTTGTATGTTCGCATGTACGTATGTATGTATGCATATATATATGCATCACATAACTCAAAACCGATTAGCTGTAGACCGTTAAAAGTTTGCACATGAGGATGCTATAATATCCATTTGTAAACTTCTCATTTTTATTGCATTTGCAAGTGTACATTTATATTATATTCGCCCACTAACCCGGCTTTTATTTTTGAAATCATTGGTCGTAGTCATATCCTCTAAATAATTTCGTCATTTTGTAAATTTGACATAGCCAAAACATTTTTTGTAAATGACGAAAAATGTTTTGGCTATGTCAAATTTAAAACAACATAATTCTCGACAAATAATGAAATTTAACTTCCCTCCTATACTCATGCTTGGGAAAGTTTTGTACTCGTTTTGAAAAAATAAATTAGAACACGTTTGATTTCCGTATGACCGGGCTATTTAATTCAAAATTTGCAATTTTTTATGTCATTTCAGCTTGCTTTGAGGGATTGGGTAATAAAGTTAAAATTATTCGAGGAAATAACTTTAAATGAAATGCAGCAAAAAATGTGCATAATTTAATAGGCGATACATGGAAGTCATGTGTGTCAATTTCAGATTTTTAACTACAGTCTAAATTTAATCCGGACTAGTCGGGACTTCGACGGTTCCAGATTATCAGTTTTTCCAGATTATAGATCGTCAATTTAAATCTGGTATGATGGCATGCAGAAATTATAAAATTAAAATATGAAACCTTAATTTATGAAATAAAGAGCAATTATGATCTAAAGGGTATCAAAATTTACAAAAAAAGCTTAATATTTTTTTGTTTACTTTATTAAACATTTCTTTCAACGCGCGCATGCATAAAGCATACATTACGCATAGTCGAAATTAGAAAATTGCAACCAGAAAACTATTTGATTTATAATATTTATAATGACGAGGAATTTGTTTTAAATTATATCAAAGACGGAGTACATCAAGATGAAATACTACGAATAAAATAAAAAATCTGCCCTGAAGATGAGGATAGTGCTGACAGATCAACTTCCAGTTCATTGTGTGCCGCAACGTTCCCCCCCCCTACAGAGCAGCATGAAATTGATAAACAGATTTCGGAATGATTAGAGAACAAAGGATATGTCTTTATCCATTTTTCGCAGCAATTCCACTTTTTGTTTGATGGACATCGAAATATGCTTTCGCTTTGTAGATCCTTTGGCAGCTCCAGAATCGGAAATTCTTTTTGACATAATCGAAAGTTCAAGCTTACTTTTATAAAATTGCTCTAACAGTCTTCAAAAAATAATAAGACGGATCCAATTCAAAGATTAAGGAACAATAAAAAACGGATTAAAGACTTTAAATTTTCTGTGCATACATAAACGCATTATGCGTTTACGCATGCGCAGAAAGTTTGTAGCTATGAGATTCGGATTATGGACGTCTGGATTAAAGACTTTTGACTGTATTAATCTTGATCTGATAAAAATCATTATTAAAATGTTGGCTTCTGGAAACCTCGATTTTGGGGAGGGGGTTTAGTATTGTAAATTTTTTAGGGAAGTTGCCAAGAATGATTTTTTGTATAGGGACCCTAAAGCTACGCCATTGACTGCATCATCTCTGTTTTGCATACAACCATCAGTTTGTGCTGATTGTGTAAATGAAATTGCTGTAAATATGTTGAAGGTGATACATAAAGATGATTTACCCTCTCTGGAATTTCTAAAGGAAGAGACGAAACGTTGGCAATGGCATTTTAATGTCTATTCCCTAAGCAAAGCTGCCAGACACACCAATTTTGGTTTTAAAAGCCTCAAATAAAATCTTTTTACCAAGTATTGATGTGCTTTTGCACATAGCAGCTACACTGTCAATAACATCTTGTGAATGTGAACGTTCCGCAAGAGCTTTGAAAAGATTAGACAATTATAATAGAGCTACTATAATGGAAGAGCTCCGAAATTCTTTGACACTAATGCACATGCATTATACCAAGAAATAGCAACTGACAAAATTATTGGTATATTTGCCAGTTTACAGCCACGGAAAATGGAATTTGGGAATATTTTAATTGCCGAACCAAAATGAAAGGCCAGAAAAATGTTTTCCTTTAAAAAAAAGAAAAAAAATTATTTGCAGTTTAATTTCATTTCCAAAAGAAATTATGTATTTACAACTTTTATGTATTTAATTCAATATCTTTATTATATAATTATATACAACAGAAATATGGATTTTATATATTTATTTGTCTTTATAATTGTATTATGAAACCAAAGAAAGACAAATTTCAAAATTCTGTTAATATTTTAATAATAATTTTTAATTAATTTAAAAAGAAAATATTGAATTACGCATTTAGTATGTTTGTAAGGTAATAATTATAAATACGATAATGAAATGCAATATATCCATAATTATGTTACACAATTTTATCATTAATAAAATTCATAATATAATTATTACTTATATTAAGATAACTGCCATTAACATAATATATTTGTCACGTAATAATCATATATGTATCTGCTGTAATAGGTAGAACAGTGTAGCCATAGGAGTCGTAACGGGCAACCCCCCGTAATTTGAGCTGGCTACGCCCATGTTATAGTAAAAGCTTAACTATCCAGAAAGCTCAGGAATTGCCTAATTCATGATACATGAAAATTCCAGGTAGTTGAGCATATAAAAAACGGAATTCATATTAGAAAACAAAGTGAATGGGAAAAATTTCTCCTCTAAAATTATAAAAACAGTCATCTCTTATTTTTTGCCAATTTGAATATCAAAAGCCTACATTTAAAATTAAATAAGATATTTAAAAAAGTGCATTTCAGACCAAAAAGATGCTCTATTTCATAGGCCTTAAACATGAAAGTAAAACATCTTATCTGATTATGAAATCCTGCAAAACATAAAAGTTGGCTGAGATGTGACGAATCATTCTGCCAGAAGTTGAAGCAAGCACATTGTTCTTTAGTTACTTAAAATATAAGATAATAAAAAGATATAAATTATGCATAACTAGATTATGGACACCATGTAAACACATTAAATTTATTGAATAATAATAAAATAATAACAAAAAAGTAAGTGTATTAATACATAAAAGTGTAATAAAAAAATCAAAACAAAATAAAAACCTGTATTTTTTTTAATAATTACACATTGAATTATTCTTGAATTTAATCATATATATTATTATAAATCATTTCGGCAGTCAAAAATCCGTGATAGCTTTTAAAGCACAAACAAACAAGTCATTATCCTTGTGCACTTTCTGCCACATAAATTTGTTTAAATAAGAAACCAAGTGTTTTCGGGTTGTTCCATAGTGTTTCTTGTTTCTCCATTTTGCCAAACTCCACAGTCGTTGTATATTTTGTGTATGTGTACCAGTTTCAGGATCCACAAAATTATATCGGTGATTCACTTTAAAGTGTTGGAATTCTGCTGCTTCCAATTCATCAGTTTTGTAACTTTTGCTTGAATCTGAGAAAATTGTATTTCATTCTGCAATGTTGTTCGTAATTTCAGCCATTAGAGTTACTGCATTTTGATTGGGAACCTTTACAATGAAACACTCGTTGGTCATTCTGCGCAGTCCCCAAAGTATTCATTGTTCTGTAAGAATATGACCAACTTTTGCGCTTTGTAAAAAAGCTCTCGTCTATCTCTGCAATTTTGTTTGGACCTTTTATTTGTTTTTAATCACTTTGTAGAAGGCTATGAGTGCACACATCTCTCATATAATTGTTCCAATTAACAATTGTCTTTCCTATTAAATCCAGCTGTTTTTCTCCCCATTCAATTGATGTTAATTCTTGCGACCAGCAATAAATAAACCGGAGGGCAGTCAGAAGCGGGAGTTTTGAGCCCTCCAACCACGTGCTTTTTCAAATAGCTACTCGTTTATCACACCCCTTTACATTGTATCACCATTGCTTATAAGTTTTGATATACAATGCCGTATTGTGGCCATTAATGTACATTTTCTTCTAAGAAATGGTTCTATACTCTTGAAAATATGCCACTGTACTCTCTTTGGTGGTAGACAAATCCCAAATTTGAATCATTTTGCAACGGAGTGAAAAAAAGCAGTATATTTGAACACGCTAAAGAAAACTAACTCGCGTAGTCAAGGATTACAGTTATTGGTGCGAGAACTACCTTTTGGCAATAATATCGGGTTTGGTGAAAATGGTTGACAGGATAATCCCAAAGTACGAAAATGTTCAATGGGATAATCCCGAAGTACCCCCAAATTAATCTCTCGCAGATGAACTCAAAATTCATACACCAAAGTATGAGAGAAAAGAATAATAATAATAAAAAAAAGTCAAGTGAAATAAATAAATGCAATAAAATTGCACAACTTGAGTATTTTTAATTTACCTCTTAAACTAATAAATAGTATATATTTTATAAGTAATTTTTCTTAATAAGAAAGAAGCGATATGCATAGTTTTCTGAAGTCTATTTCCTTTTGTTAATTCTGAATAATACTCTGCATCTGATCTATATATTTATAAAAAGTAACGCAGTTTATCATGATGAATGTAAAGAATATAACTTGAAAGAAACTGAGTTGTGAATATGTTTCCTTATTTTGTATGTGTGAATTATTTCTGGAAGAAAAATGCATATTCAAATGGTAATTTAAATTTCAGTTTCTAGAAAATGTTGGTGTTCCTAAGAAGTGGGGGATATCTGATATTATTTCTCTGGATGAAGAGTTTTTGCACATGATTCCGAGTCCTTCTTTTGCTGTTTTGCTTTTGTTTCCAACAAGTCCAAAGGTATTTAATTTTTTGTTCAAATGTGAGATTTAAAAAAAAAATTGTTTAAGTATATATATATTTTAATCTTAAGGTAAGTATATGAATTAAGTCTATGATTAGAATTTGAATAGAGTTGCTAAAGCTTACTTGTCTGTGGTGTTACATAGATTTTAGATATTTTATAGTGCTTACTTTCTGTGTAAACCTTGCAGTTTAAAGAAAGGATATCAACTTCCTTTTTCATAAGCACATTCCCTTTCATACGCACATTCTGTGATGATATTAAAAAGTGAAAAATAATTCTTTTGGCATTAAAAATAAAAAACTGAATTATATATTAAGTAGAGCCCTCATAACTAAAATTATGTACTTTTGAATCCTTTGACTAGATTCATTTTAGATATGTTTTTATTAATGTTCTGTGTTAAAATCCTGCAGTGTCGAATAATGATATGAGAAATTAAGTTTATTTTATTTTGACATTATTGTCTAAGATTCGTGTAGTCTTGAACCGGAGTTGTTGAATTTTGTCACATGAACCTTTTGTTGAATTGTCAAGAGATAAAGTGTAAATTTTGCTTCTGTGTGTCATACTTCTAACTCACCAGACTCTGGAACATTTATGTAAGTGAGCTTAATTGAAGAACATTCATGATCATCAATGGATATTTTTCCATTTTTAATCCACTTGAGTTATCATAAGGGTACCCCTCTCTTGCAGTGGTGAGAAGGTAGATTTAGTGTGTTAATACACTGGGGCAAGAAATGAACTGTCTTTGATGTGTGCATATGCAAGAAACAAATGGTTACCAATTTGTGCATGTGCAAGAAAGAAACAATTACTGACCTGCTAATGTGCAAGGACAAAATAGTTAACTATTTTGTCCTTGCACTGTAACTGTTTTTTTAACTCTTTTTTTTTTTTTTTTTTTTTTTTTTTTTTTTTTTTTTTTTTTTTTTTTGGTAATTGCATTATGTCAGTATAATGGTTTTCATTGTAATATACTCATTATGCTTAGGCTGAAAAATCAATTTTGCAGTGCATTTATGTATACGCTTTATAACAGGAAAAGTGACACATCAAGGAGTCATCCAAATGGAAAGAAATTGTGTATGTCGAAACCTTATTATAGAATATACAAATAATTAACTTCTGGTGGCCAGGGACTGACTATCTGGAGTTCCAGTGCATTGCAGTGGAGCATCTGGATGGTGTATAAAACAGGATATTTGCTAAGGTATACCTTCTGTGTGAATGCAGTTCAGTTGACATAGGTGGACTTTGCAGATGAGTTCGCAAAGAGTATAAGCAGATGTCACCATTTGAGAGAGGGCATGCAACTGGACTAGAGGAAGGAGAGTAGTCAAATCGAAGGATTGCTAGATATTTGCATCAGAACGATGGTATTATTCTATGGTGTTGGCAAAAATGGTGAACCATTAGCTGTGGAGAGCATCAAGAAGATAGTTGTTGACGAAGAGCAAGGACAGACTGTCTAATTAGCCTATACAGGCCCTGATATGTCCCTCTGAACAATCTGATGTGTACCTGGGAGTGACTGTTATGACCAATTTTCCAGTGATTTTAAATATAAGCACCTGAATGGGGACGGAAGTTGCAGAGGCCATAGCACCAGCTTCCTCTTGCCATTGCACGCTGCATTGCATGTTTGCAGTGGCCGCAGATGCATTAGATGTATGATGTCATGGACTGGGGTAGAATTGTCTTTCAGTGAAGAGTCATGCTTCCAACAACAGAGACATATCTGGAGACATCCAGGATTGCAATGGAATACTCACCTGACTACCTTTTTTTCATGAACCCCTGGACTTGCATTTCAACAGGATAATGCTCCATGCCACACCTTTCTACGGCTTGTCTTTGTGTTTTTCCAACACCTTTCTGGGCGGCATGATTGACAGTAGATGTCTTCTCAATAGAGCTGATTTGGGCTCTGATGGACAGCCGTCTTTAGCTGTTCTTGGATTGCGCTGATTTAACTTGCCAATTGATCATGTATGGCAGGCAGTCTTGCTGTAGAACATCCACCAACTTTATACATCACTGGTTAGCCAGATAACAGCTTGCATCAGGGCTAAAGGTTGGCCCAGTGCATTATTAAATTTTTTTGCTCTTGTAGCTGTGTTTCCTGAATAATGGTGTTTTGTTTTCAATACATGTACTGATTTTCGTCCCATTCGGGTAAATCTTTGGTGCGTCGCTTTTTATGTTATAGAGTGTATATATATATATACGCTTTCTATACTTTCTAATGTTAACAAAATTGCATTAAATAAAATAATAATTAGAATTTTCCGCTGTGTTTATATATGTGGTTGTTTTAAATAAATTGCTTACATAGTTGTATTAAATATGTTAATGTACATAATATTTCATAAATTCTCTTGAGAATTGTTATTTAAATATATTGCTGTCAAATATTAATATTATATTATATACTAATATTAAATGCTATAATAAATAAACTTATGTTGTATCCCTTCTCTGTATGTATGTTAAACAACTTGTGTTGTATAGGTATTAAATGAATTGCTGATATATTATTTACCATAATCAGTTTCATTTTTCTGGTTGTTTACAACATTTGACAACTAACTGTGCTAATGCTGCATCTGTCACTGAGGCAACTACAGAAGACGAGTACCATCATTAGTTTGTATGTGACATATAACTTTCTTCCCTAATGCTTGTTTTAATATTTGATGGGTTTCTGCTGCAATCTTTTAAACTTTAAAACAAAGTTCATGCGGTTCTTTTGTTCTTAGTCATAATATTTATAATGAAACAGTTTAAACACACCTTCATAAAAACATACAGTATTTGAGAACAGGACTTTCTGTGGCAATGATAGCTTGCAGTGCATTTCCTCAGTAATTTTGCAGGTGATAACGATGTATCAGAGTACTACATCACTTTGGGATGGGACGATTTCATTTTGAGAACTTTTGGTTTGTACTTTGAAGAGCATACAGTGAAACCTTTCTTCCAATGCATTCCATTCTTGAAGGCTGTTCATCATCTGAAATGTCTACAAATCAAAACTGTTTTCAACAAATATAATTATTGTAAAATTGATTAATCCATTCCTTTATTACAGATCAATGCTTATTTAAATTTAAAAACAATTTTGTTCTTTACTTTATAACACAAAACCAATAAAAATAATTAGATCCAAGACAAAAGTGATATGCAGTATTAAACAAATAAAATAGAAAAAGGAAAAAAAAAAAAAAAATTGTTGAATTTTACTGTATCTGTATGAAAGAGTATAAGCAGCATAAGTAGAGAATGATGAGGATTGGAAAGGTAAGAGGTGTTGTTTGGATGAGTAGACACCTTGGATAAATTGTTAGGTAACTTTCTTTTTTGGTACATTCTTTTATTGTTTCTTTTTCTCTTATGGGCACTGTACACTACTTGAAAGACTTTGGGCCTCTGTTTCACTCACAATTTGTCCAGTGCTGTTTCATGTTGTCTACACTTTAAAATGTTTCTGAAATGAAACGTGGTATCACTAAAGTGACTTTTTGTTACTTTCCATATATTAGCTTATAATTTAATATACACGGTGTCCGAATCAAATGTATCTGATTTGGAGAGGTCACTTTACTTAACAGAGAGTTTAAAAGTGTAAGAAAACTATAAAACTAAATACCAATACTCACAAAGTTTTTTATTAAACAATCAATACAATTCCATGTGAGCTCCCTTGGTAGCCCTGAGAATGTCCAGCCGGTAGTCCAGTTTCAGCCATGTAGTATTTCCAGCCGGTAGCATTTCCAGAGCCACAGTAGCAAGAGCCATGGTTGTAAAGGCACGAAGGTGTTCAATATCACGGATGTTCCCCGAGTAGACTTTGTCTTTCACGTGACCCCCAAAAAAAGTTAAGAGGAATCATGTCGGGAGATCTTGGTGGCTAGGCAATTGGGCCATCGCATCCTATCCATCAGTTAGAGAAAGTTTTATCTAAAAATGCATGGACATGCTTGTCCCAGAGAGGAGGGTCCCCATCTTGTTGGAATATAACAGTGGGTTGTAAATGCTGCATTTGGAGCATTGCATAAGTTTGTAACATGTCCAGGTAAATGTTTATCATCACAGATGTCTCAGCAAAGAAAAATTGTCCTATAACTGTATCATGTGATAGAGCACACCAGACATTGGTGTTTGGGATGCTCCGTTCCAATTCATGTATTGAATAGGGATTTTTCTGAGCCCCAAATTCTGAAGTTGTGCTTATTAACGTTGTTGCTAACATGAAATGTAGCTTCATCTGGAAAAAAAAAAAAAAAAAAAAAAAAAGATGTGGTTTAGAAAATCGTGTTAATTTTCGATGCGAGATAACTTCTCCACAGCAAATGCTGCACGCTGGGGCCTATCATTTGGTTGCAGTTCATTCTGCATTTTATATGCATGCATCCTCAGTTTTTGATGCAGCACATCATGAGTAGTTGATCATTTCATAGATAATTCTGAAGCTGCCTGCCTGATCGACTAATGAGGGCTCCGAACGAAAGCTTGTTGAACATTTTCCACATGTGAATCAGAATGTGAACGCCGATCACCTCCGGATCTTTTCCTTACACTTCCTGTTTTGAGAAATGTTTTGAGCCACTTTTCTATGCTCTTAGCCTGGGGTGGATTTCATTTATAAAGTGTTTGAAACAGTCTTTGCACTTTTGCTACGGATTTTTGTTTTTCATATCAGAGAGTAATTTGTGTCTTCTCTTGCGGTGATGCCATTTTCTCGTTTATTGGCTGAGCAGACACATAGGTACGTCAGATGTGAGAAAAAAATATTGTCACTATACTCTATGAATTTAACTCCCAACATGTGGCTAATATCACCCTCGTAGCGCTAAAACTGTGTCTAATCGACTGTTCAAAATAGGTATATTTGATTCGGACAACCTGTATTTTCCTCTCTTACTTTCTTGAATAATGTAAATGTCATCTTAATGAGTGTAAGTTTATGAAAATAGAGACTAAAATAAGTAAAATACAAATTTAGGTAATAAATGTTGTTTAAATACAAATCATGATGGATCCAAAAACCCGTGTTCCTCAGAGGGTTAAAATATGTCATGAATTATATATCCTGTTTATCATGCTTTAAGCCTCATAACTAGTTAATTTATTTCTGTTTTGATTGAATTGCTGGGGTTTTGATTGAATTGGGTGTACAATATATAATTTTTCTAGTAGAATGTTTATATAAATTGCTGGGTACTAAACCATTTTGAAGACTGTAAAAAAAATTGCAGCAAAAAATGTATGTGCAAAAGTGCCAAATCTAGCAAACGCACTTGTTTAACAGTGGGCCAAATCTAGCATACATGCTGATTTCAAATTGCATAAGTTTAGATAGTTCTATATTTCTTAAGACGCCATTGAAATACTAGTTTAATTTTTAAATCCTTTTTTGATATCAATTTGGGAATTGTCCATGACGAAAAAGTCTGCAATAGAATTTTTTCAAAGAAAAGGCATCATTCATTATAGAAAATTATGTTTGAACAACCAACGAGATGAAATTATGCTTTAGTGATAACTCGGTAGCGAAATAGCTATGCAGGAATCCATTCAGTTATGTTTACCTTTTTTTTTTTATATAAATTATAATAATGATCTGAAATAGTTATTTACTCTTATGCTTCCATTCAGTATTTAGTCACCGTGAGTAGTTGTGTATATTAGTCTTTTTTGATCAGTATGTTTATTTTTCAGTAGCAAATTTAAGTTTATTTATCTCTCTTTTTCTCTTTAAACAGAGGAATTAACTGTTTTCCAATTTGTAAATATGAGCTGTGACTATCCTGGCCACACACATAATTTTTTGTTTCTTTATTAAATCTATTAAAGGAGACTATAATACACAAGAAAAAGATGGTGAGCCATAAAAACGATGTTTCTGCTGATTAACCGAGATTCCTGGCTGTTGCTTTTAAACACCTGCTGGCTAAGGAATCAAACCTTGGCCAATGACAATACATCGATGGATGTTGGATTGATGTTAGCTATGTGCACACTATTCATCCTTGAGTGGTTGTGTGTGGGGAAGGGGTACTGCATTTTTTTTTTTTTTTTTGTTTGTTTTTTTTTTTTGTTTTGTTCTAACCTAAACAATTAAGGCCCAAGATTTATCTGAAATGAATGCTGCACATAATAGTTTTCTTTTGTTAGCATAACAACAGGGAAGGGATATATAATTAAATTCCGAGGAACTAAAGTTCGATTAACATAGCAAGTTTGCTCTTCCTTAACATTTTCATTTGAAGCAACTTGTTATTTCCGTCTGTCTTTTTATTATTAATCTTATCAAAATTGCAAGTGTAATAAATTATAATGCTTCCATCTTTCACTTTTCCCAAAGCTATACAGCCATCAGTTAGCCAAGGATATCAGAATTTCCTTTTTATTATTTATTTTATTTAAAGTTCCTTTTTAAAAACTGATGCAGCAGTAAGACGATCTAATAATACTAGAAAACTTTTATCTAAAATCTAATGGTATCAGTATGAGGCACTGCCAGATTACGAGAGGCTGCGTCAGCAGATACAGTCAAAAGTCGTTAATTCGGACACCCATAATCTGGAATAATCTATAATCCGGACTTCAAAGCTAAAAACTTTCTGCGCATGCGTCGCACAGGCATTTACGCGTGCGTGTAAGACCTTTACGGCTGCGAATATGCGTGTGCGCTTGCGTGTTTAATGTATAACGGACGGTATAAGCTTGATGCATGCGCATAGGCATTTACGCGTACGCGTAAGACCTTTACGGACTGCGAATATGCGTGTGCACAAGTGCAGAATACGTTTTCGCGTGCGTGTTTTAATGTATAACGGACGGTATAGGCTAAGCGAAAATTATCTAATTATCTAATTTCAGTTAATTGTTGCATGATTGCGCTGTTTCCTTAAGTCTTCGAATTGGATCCGGCTTATTATTTTTTCAGACTGTAAGAGCAATTTTATAAAAGTAAACTTGAACTTTCGATTATGTCAAATAGAATTTCCGATGCTGGAGCTCCCAAAGGATCTACAAAACGAAAGTATGTTTCGATGTCCATCAAACAAAAAGTGCAATTGCTGCAAAAAAATGGATAACGGCATGAAGAAAGTGACAGAGAGGTTAGTGAAAACGAAAAAATTTTGATCGACAAGTTAGTCGGTATTCTCGGCACAGCGATTACGGGACTTGAACAGCGGTACTTTGTAACTGAACAAGAAATTATGTCTGTTTATAGAATTAAAGAGAAAGTATTATCACATAAAACGAAGCAACTTAAACAACTTACCTTGAAAGAAATGTTTAATAAAGTAAACAAATAAATATTAAGTTTTTTTTTTTTTTTTTTTTTTTTGTAAATTTTGATACCCTTTAGATCATAATTGTTCTTTATTTCATAAATTACGGTTTCATATTTTTAATTTTAGAATTTCTGCATGCCATCTTACGAGATTTAAACTGATGATCTATAATCCGGAAAAATCGATAATCCGGAATCGCGGAAGTCCCGACGAGTCCGGATTAACGACTTTTGACTGTATTTGTAAAAATGCTTGGCCAGCTGCCAAATTTTGTGGTGATGAAAACCATGCATCTGAGAAGTAAAATTTTGTAATTATTGAAATAGAAGAAGACATGATAAATAAAGAAGATATAAATAAGGTCTTACAATATAATGACAATGCTTCAATCATCAATCAATTAATGGAACAGAAAATATCTAATATGGTTTTAAATTGAGAAAATATTGCAGTTTCGGCTGTGAGTCCTATTGTAATTTCACTTGGGGGGTGATTCAGAAAAATTCTCTGTGCAAAATAAGAAATATTAATGGAGAATACTTTTAATTGTATAATTTCTGCTTATCATTTTACTGGATTTAAACTTCAGAAATTTCTAAATTCTTCCTCTTCCTCATGCATATTCTCTATGCAAAATACCTGTTCCTTAAAGAAATATTAATGGAGAATGCTTTTAGTTGTATAATTTCTGCATATCATTTTACTGGATTTAAATTGTTGATCTAAAATTCAGAAATTTCTGAAATCATTGAAGTCCTAATGATTCTGGATCTTGGGCTTTGAACTGTATTTAATGTATTAAGACTAATAGAAATTGATCTAAAATTAAAAAGTACAAATAAAACTACTTTGGCGGTTAGGTTATAAAAAATGGCTTGATTCCTAGACAAATTTTCAAATTCATACTGTCATATATTGTCAGATGCAAACATAATCTCATGTTTGAGGACTGTTAAAAGAAGACCAAGCTTTTGTTATTCTTGCTTAATTTCTTATTGTACATACTTTCAACCACTATCCCTTCAAAGTATTCTTCTCTTGTGTCAATTATTCCTTCCACTTTTAAAATGCCTGCTGAAACTCGCCGCTTTCAATGACATGCAGTACTCTTGCTGAATTTTCCTGATTTTCCTATGGGGGCGGGAAAAGATATCCTTTTAAGTGTAGGAAGTAGTTTAAAGTGTAGGAAAGTGAAAGCAGTTTGGTAAGGAGAGATTTGAGGAGTATTGTAGGTGGGTCGCAATGGAAATGCGATGTTTTGTCAGACAGTTGGTAACAAAAAGCAATGTATGAACTGGACTGTTGTCATTATGCAACATACATGACTGATTCCCCAATAGTTCAGGTCTTATCCAGGGTCAGCATCTCTTAATCGTGTTCAAATTCTCTGGTAGAGAAAATGTTGACTTAGAAGGTTGTTCAATCCTTGCATCTTAGGCAATCGAACTTGTGTCCTCATTAAAACACTGAAACTAATTCTAGCAATGTGTTCAGCTCATGAAGTCATCCTTGTATGCTTGGTGAAGCATTTAGAATGTTTCAGTGAAAGTTTATCCCAGTTTATGCAGACATGTCATTCCACCTACTCCATTTTGGGTTTTTCTGTTATCCAATAAGCAGTTTATGCACAACCTCACACAGTCTGTAGTTACTTGACAACTAATGTATAGATTGGAACCTGGTAAAAGGTTATGTATTACCAAGACCTGCCTTTAGGTACACATGGTGGCCAGAGCTTGCCATCTGCAACCATTAGCATGCAATTTGGAATGTCTGTTTTTTTTTAAAAGAAAGCTCATATTTATTGAAATACTAAACAGCTGTCAGATTTCTTTCTGTAATTAAATCATGTGATCATGCTGAAAAAAAACTCTCTCTTTCTGCCAAAGAGAAATTTTTAAGTATTGTTAATGTGAACCAGGATACTAGTAAGAAATCCATATGCTGTTTTTAATTTGCTTTTTTAGCAATGGCATTACTGTTACAGTGTTGACTCTTACCTCAGAAAGTTAATTTTATTTTTTTATTTTAATTTTTATTTTGAAATTTTCTTTATAGTATTATGAATATTGTGAGAAATTAGAGGAGCTTTCAAAAAATGAAAAGCAAGAGGTAGAAAAAGATGTATTCTTTATGAAGCAAACTGTAAGAAATGCTTGTGGAACAGTAGCTTTAATTCATGCTGTAGCTAATAGCATGGAACATCTAAATTTGAGCCCTGATTCACCTGTGCGAAAGTTTGTAGAAGATACTAAAGAACAAGATCCAGACCAAAGAGCATTAATCTTTTCGCAGAGTGAAGTAAGGAATATTTAATTTTTATTACTATTTTAGCATTTAGGTACATAGTCATTTAGTTATTTTTGTTCGAGCTACTTAATTCATATTGAACTTTGCCATATTATTATAAACTGGTAAATTTTGATGGCAGACATATATTTAAGTTCTTTTTTTTTTTTTTTTTTTTAATTGCATTTATTATTTTGAATTACATTAAGTGTATTACTTGTAACTGTATTTGCTATTTTTACATATGTATTTAAAAGTAAGCTTGATAATTTTTTTGGAAGAAATGATTCAGTATAAAATTTTTAGATGTAGTGTCAAAATTTGTTGAAGTCTGTATTAAGTATGCAACTTTTTTCCCTCTTTGGAAATGCTCTGCCAGGTTTTTGTATTACAGGAATGTGGATGTTCAAGAGTCCCTCCCTAAATGACAGGCACTTGTCTATTCAGCATTGGCCACTCCTAAGGCCTGCAGTAGGGACCATTTTATTGTGGAGGTACCTAACGGGTACCTCCGTTTCTTCCTATGAAGGGATAGATAGTTACAATGATGTCTTTTCTGGGCTTTGAATCCAAGCCCTTTTGTACAGCGGTAGTCTTCCCTAACCACTATACCATCTGGGTGGCTGTAGATACAAGAGTGAAATATAATTCATGAAAAATTGCTTTAATAATATATATATATATAGAGAGAGAGAGAGAGATGTATGTGGTATCTGTCTGTAACCTGAAATTTTACATCTTTTTATCTCTTTTAAAGTATACGATATGAAGTACTGTGCAAGAGGTAGCCAGCTGTTGATGTAGGGTGAGGGGAAATGCCCAATTATAAAACAGAATTTCTTCAAAAGAAGCTGAATTTTCAAAGTTTAATAACTGTTATCAGTTTCAAGCAAATAAAATAACCAATTCAGACTTTTGTGAAACATTAAAACTTTTTAACCCTCTGACTGCTCAATTTATGGACTGAAATCACTTCAAAATTATGTATTTTTATTTTTTGCATATTTTAAATCTTTATATATTGGAGAATTGAAAAATGCACACTTCTTTCTAGAAAATATTTTTTATATAGATTTTTATCATGAGAAACTAAGTCACCAGAAAAACCAATTTCAGATGTTATCACCAAAAAAAAAAAAAAAAAAAAAAAAAAAGATTTTTAAAAATAAATTTCATTCGAATTACAGTTAATTTCTATTTATTGCATAATATAAAAATAAAATGTATAAAATTTAAGAAAATATAAAGCGCTGAGGGAAAAATACCTTAGAAATGCAGTTTAGTATGATAAAAGTTCAAAGCAGGTTCAAGGCAAAGTCAATCTTCACAGTTTTTTTCACCAGATTCAATAAATTTAATTAATAATCAATCTAATAATTAATCTAATTAATAATTCAATAATTTAATTAAATAAGATAATTGCTGATCGTTTTCTAGCATCCATTTCTGTAAGAAAAAAGCAGCAAAAAGTGAAGTTTGAACGCTAATACTATGTGCCTTGAAATGCCGCAATTTAGTGGACAACTAACGATATCTGTTGGCCAAAATGTAACCTAAATGCTTAATACTGTATATAATTAATTTCAATGGTTAAACGAGGAAAAAACGAGATGTGCTCCTCAATAAAGGAAGAAATGCCCTCGGAAATCGGAGGATAAGCAAATTTTGCTACATTTTAGTTGTCCGTGGAAATCACGGGATGATCAGCCAGAGGGTTAATTTTATATTTTTAGTGCACTGTACAAATAAATTTTGAATATATTCTTAGATAAATGTATTTCAGTTGTTCTGATGATATTCATCATTCTAATGTTTTAGAATCAGTGTCCTGAATGTGGGTTTTATTTTGGCACAAGTAAACACATTTAATCAAAATTGTAAAAACAACCTTGTATTTAGCGTAAGTATAATAATACTTATTAATACATCATCGTATCATTATACTTACGCTAAATACAAGGTTGTTTTTACGATTTTGATTGTCACATTAGTGTGTTTCTCTTCTAGTCTAAACACATTTACTTTAGACTTTATTAATGAGTGAATTTTGTTTACAGCAGTTATTAAAATATATATGGAAATAAGATATTATTTATATGTTGTAACTATCAACAGCAAATGCACAGTTAAAACTTTTACCTTTTTTGAAGGTAATCTACAGATAATATATCCAAACACTATTAAATAATGATGCATTTTACTTTAAAGCAGTAGAGTAAAGGATGGAACAAGCACTTTTGTAATTGATAGCTTTCATTCAGAGACTTATTGTGAAAGTGCTTTTTTTTTGTTGCGTGTGTGTGTTCTTCAAGAGTGTCTGAAAAGGAAAGTTTTAATTCTCATCAAAGGAGTCAAGAGTACATAGTTCCTTACTGCTCATTTGGAGGAGCACTTCTACAGTCACTTTCCTTCATTTCTACAGGAAAATCTTTTGTTACACTTGATGCATTATATTGTCCTATCCTAAACCTTCTGTATTGCAAATTTATGTAGCAGCCTTAAATCTCGTGCAGAGCTTCTGATGTTGAGTCTCTGTTTCTTTGCTGGAGTTGATTTTTTTACAAATGTATAAACAAATTGTTAACATTTGTTGGTAGTCATATTATTTTGTTATTACTAATTTGCTTTTATAGATTGCAAATGAGTTTATAGGAGGAAATGTTTATAGATTGCAAATGAGTTTATAGGAAATTTTATAGGAGTGGACCTGTAAATGTGATTAAGTTCCACGAGGCAGGGAAGCCCTAATTGTTGTTGTTGTTGTTATAGATTGCGAAAAATAAAAATATTATATTTCTACTGACAAAATTTGCAGCTGAAGATAATATGTGATATGTGCTTTGATTTGGTTTATTTGATTAGAACAAAGTACGTGAGAGCAAAATACATGGGGAATGCCTTAATGGAGGCCTTTATAAGGGATACTGGCTCATATCCATGTTACACATGGTGGAAACCATGAAAACGCCCATACAGCCAACCTGTTCACCTGGAATCGAAGCCAGGCTGATCTACCAGTGTTTAATGACTTTCTGCTTGTCTGCTAGACCATTAATATGTGTTTGGGATAACTATGCAATGATTTTTCATGTTAGGTGTTCATGTAAATATTTTTAACTGTGCTGTTTGACTTAAAAGTATAACAATAGTAATTAGTAGTTTCAACTGATTGATACCATTTTATTACAGGCAATAAGTAGTGCTCATGAAGCTAGTGCACAAGAAGGTCAAACTGAGGTATGATTAATTACCATCAATTATTAAATTAAAAAACTGGTTGTGATTGTGTGGTTAATTTTAAAAAAACCCTGAAAGTCCCAGCTTAGATGACTGATGATAATTTTAAGTTCTCTTCTGTTATCAGGACCGGATTCAGAAATGCATGTATGTATGGATATATGTATTCATGTGTGCTTGAATATATGTTCATTTGTACATAAGTGTGTGTGTGTGTGTGTGTATGTATACCCATATATACATACATACATAAACTTAAAAGCGGTATAAAAAGCAAATTTTTTAAACCCGTCCTGCACTATAGCTGCAGGATTGAAGTAAAATAAACTTTAAGCATCTAAAGTTAAAAGTAAGTTGGAGTCAAAGCAAGGTATTTAAGTTTCTACTGCAATGATCATTTTTATTTTGAAATGTTTTGATTTTATGTTTAACCCCTTTACCAAGGATGGAATTATAATATTGTTAAGGAATCGCCTTGCTTTGACTCCAATTTGCTTTTAATTTTAGATGCTTTAGGTTTATATATATATAAACTTAGGAATGTATGTGTGTATGTGCGTATATATGTATGATATTTCGGCATCAAAGTTCAGGCATGGTTTTTGCTGAGCGGTAAGGCTAATCCAAATAAAGAGGCAAGTTGATTTAGTTTTTAATGGTACATCTTTATTCCATAGATTTTATTCAATTATCACTGTAGATCATTTATTCGTTACTAAATAAGAGTATTTAAACTTTAATGCATCATAACCTATTCTAACAAAGAGAGCAAGCACAGTAGCGTAGACCCTAAAGGCACAGAGAGAGGAAAGCTTCTGATGCAAAATGGCGCACATTCCTTATTTATATTAGCGGTTACGTAATAGGCTAGCAAATTCTAGAAGGTACTGGTCTAGGAGGAAGATACTGAATTGCAGAAAGTTAAAGCAACCAAAGCACAGACAGAGGAAAGCTTCTGATGCAAAATGGCGCGCATTCGTTATTTATAGTAGCGGTTACATAATAGGCTAGCAAATTCTAGACGGTACTGGTCTGGGGGAAGATCCTGAATTGCAGAAAGTTAATTAAAGGTTGCGTGTTCGCGAAAAGCAAAGCCATCGTATTGTTTTCTATTTTACACATATATATATATGCACATACACACTGTGATAAGGTGGCATAAAGGTTCTTTGTCTAGGATGAATGATTTCAGAGTGTAGTAGTTTTCATATCAGTGGTGAAATCCTGTGCCTTTGTTAATGATTCCAGTTGCAGTCTTGTGGGTTACTCCAGTGGACAAAGAGGTAAAAGAAGTCTTTTCATCAGGGTCACGAGATGGACACTTTGTTATGTATGAGTGAAAGAATCTTCCCCTTCCCAAGAGTTCAGCACAAGTAAACACTGGGAGATATAAAAGGTGGTTTCCTGAGAAGAGACGAGAACTTTCTTGTTTAGAGCTATGGGCATGTTGGCCTGCTAAGAACGATCATTCCTCGTGTATAATGCGTAGCATATTTCCTGTAACAAAATTCTGAAATTACTTGACTACATATATATAAGTCCCATATTGTCAAGATATGCAACTATTAAGGTTTTCATCTTATTAAAATTCATGTTATTGTTAAAACTTGAGTAACACAACAAGTAACTCGCAGCAAGTAAAGAAGCTCAATTTAATAAATTTAACAAGTATGGCCAATACAAAACTGTTAATTTATTCCTTCATCTTGTCACTCATATATAGCAGTAGCTAGACCCACTCTGCCATCTTCAGTAACAGTTAGTAAATTAAACTGTTGCTGTGATACATTTGGCGATGTATTGAAAATGTTATTTGAGATGAATTTTGAACTGAGTTATTCGTGAAATTATTTGTTTTTTTATTTAAGGTAAATTTTTGAAATTATTTAAGGTAAATTATTTGTTTAGTTTCTTTGGTAAATGACAAGACATCCTGTGCACAGAAACAATTTTTAAACTACTTATTTTAAATTTCTGACCCTGAATATAATGCCATCGTTTTTTCAATAAGTGTAGTTGCAGATTTTAAGCATATAATTCTTTAACATGGCTGTTTCTTTTGCATTTAAATTAATCTGAAAAAGATTAATCTAAACCTGCAAATAATTAATCTAGATCTGTGAAAATGTATGTAAAGTGCTTTCATAAATTTATGATGTTAAAACATAATTTGCAGATTGGAGATTTGATTATAAAGCTGACAGTAAAATGTTTACTTACACTGATTAGAACAAAATATGATCTACTCATGTATGTGTCTAAGTAATTGCATTTGAAAGTGGCTTATATTTTAAAGAATTTAAGTATATATTATGGAATAGTGAAAATTTATTATAGACAATTATTATTATAGACGTGTTTAATTTGGAAGATGGCTAAATAATTTTAGACATAAAACTAAATTTATGTAAAATCCTTGTTTATTTTTCAGTTAAAGATGCCATGCATTGTCAGAACAGAGGGTAATTATGATAAGATGATGATTAACCATTAAACACATGATCCTTTTATTACTTCTTCATATTGTAGTTTGAAACATATTTCTTAGCTCTGGATTGATATCTGCTTTCACAATTCAATCTATATCTTGTTTGGCAAATAGATTAAGCATGAAAATTGTTGTGTGTCATAAAATTTGCTTAAATCAGCATTAAACTTTAGAATTTTAAAAAAAAAAAAAAAAAAAAAAAAAAAAAAAGCAAAAATGGGAGAGGACACAAATTTAAAATTGGGTAAACAAGCAACCTTAGTTTGGAATAGATTTTGAATAACTATCAATTTCCATGATAACCAGGCACAGATATTAAGAGCTAAGCAAAGCTTGAAGAAGAGGACCACTATGCCAAAATCGAGAGTTCTTTTAAATATCTGTGTCAGATTAAAATAGAATTATTGCATAATTTTTACTTTTAATTGAATTTATTTATTCAGGAAAAAATTAAATGGAGATTAAAGATAACACATATTAAAAAACTGTTAGATTTATTTTGAATATTTCTAAAATGAGTATTATGAGAAATGAGATTGTTAGGAGCATTAAAAATATGATTTTGGTTAGTGCATTAGAAAGGCAAACAGAAGTGAGTTTGCATAAATGGAGATTTAATAATTGTCATGAAAATGTGTTTCCAAAAAATACAATTAAAAACATCTATAGATTATATTTTCACAAATAAAGGGAAAAGGTACTGTAAATACTCCAGATTTTTTTGGACCAGATTTTGGTTATTTCTAGGTACGAAAATAGCAATTTTTTTTCTATTGGTTATGGTCCACTGGTATTGCAGAGTACTGTATGGTGGAGCTGATGCTTTTATTTTTGTGAATAATTTTAGTGGATAAACGGAGATAATTTTTGAAAATCAACAATTTTTTTAAGGTAAAAAATATATTGTCTCTCTTTTTCAGTATTTAATAAATCTTAATGCAGAATATCAAAGATGGCTTAGTTTCAGCTGTGTGCTGACTGCAGTTTTAGTTGGTAAGGGATGTTATTGGCTCTTAAGGGAACCTTTTCTCAATTGGGCTTTGGAAAAATAAGAGTTTTTTTTTCTAAAATGAGGTGTACCCAGAGGAAGGCCATCAGGAAGGGTATAAAAGTAAAGAATGAATAATTAAACAAAATGCTTCCTTTATTTGCATCTGTTCCCTGTAGAGCAAATTTGTGGCAGATAGTATGGCTAACTACGATTACTGTATTTATTCAAGTAAAAGTTTTATATTAATGTACGTTAAAGTATGTGTATGAAATTACTAGTATACTTTTATTTTGCCTCAAGCAAGGATAGTCATGTTATTAAATATACCTAAGAAGATTTTTGTTGATGTTATCATCTACTTTTAAGAATTTATATTTGTATGTTAAACATGTGTACATTAGTTTAGTTGAATGACTTTAAATTGTTAAAAATTTCAGCAATGACTAGGGTATGTGCTTATGTATTTTCTATCTAAAGTTAAACTAAGTAAATATGAGGCTTTAAAGTTTAGTATTTCGAAAGTATTGTATATAAATAAATTATGTTAAAACTAATATATTTTAAAAGCAAAATGTATTGTAAATACCATTCCTATTTGTGATTGGCCGGTTTCACGTGCCTGTGCATGAAGCTGAGATCTTTCATCTAGGAAATAGTGACTCCATTGTGTACAAAAACGTTTTGTTCTCTTCCTGAACATATGCTTAATTGAGCCTTTGTCTCTACTAGCTCTGTTTCCCATTGTGAATGGCCTTAAAGATAGAATATCATAGTATAGTCAGCAGAAAAATGCTGCTTTTGCAAAGCAGTACTCCAGCATACAAAGCTGAGATTTCCTAGATTACCATTCAGAATCAGATTTCAGCTCCCCCCACACTGTATTCACCAAATTGTGGTAGCATTTGTGTGTTCGTATTAAGCAATGTTGTGAGTTGAAGCATGCTGCTGAGATATGATTTGAAGGCTGTGACTAAATCTTAATTTTTCTGCTGTAATCTTATGGATTGCTTTCCATATAGCTGATCATACAGAAGTTTCCTAAGAGATGAATATTTTTTCATGGATTCTACAATGGTAAATTTGAGAGATGCTGGTCAGGAATTTGTTTAATGCAGGATATTTAAAGAGAAGAAATCACATTTACTAAGAGAGAAAATCGCCCATGATACTGTGTTTATGGGGCTTGAATTTGTGACCTTAATCTGAATTTTTTTTTTGTGATCTCTGAGGATATCTCACATAGTCCCATCAAAATACCATATGTACTTGCATATTGCTGTTTCTTGCATATTTTTCCTCTAATTTTTTCAGTATATGATGTAAAAATTGCTAATTTATGGGAAGAATGAAAAATATGTGCACAAATAGAAAAACATTTTGTGTAAGTTAAAAGAATATTATTGAAATTGATAAGACCTTTGAAATACTTAATATAATAATATTGGTTTGTCTATATGTACTTTTTACTGTGTTATGATTATCATTCAAACTGTCTCTTCAGGTGTAATGTACACTGCATATTTTTCC